TGGGAGCCTTTTACCAAGGCTCCGGGGGGGGGGGGTTGTGACCCATCGGACCCGCTCCCACACGCTGGTGTGCAGTTTACATCCCCGGGATGTCCGGGAGATGTGTCTGCCTGCATGTTGCCATAAACTGAAAGCATTTAATATAGATGTTCATGGAGCTAATTCTATGGACTACTCCTTTTATGCTGACAAATCTAGATGGGTAGCCTTGTTAGTCTATTGCAGCCAAAATAACAATCACCTATATGAGGAGTCATCACCTCTGGTGATAAACATACATGTAACTGGAATGCAGCATCAGTGGCACAAGCCACTTATATGTCTTACTTGAAATAATCCCCCTTCGGCTTGGTGGATCCATAAGAAAACCCAGAATTCTTAGGGTGATCATGTCTATTGTATGTTTGAGTCCATCCTTAATTTCATATTAGTAGTTACAATCTTTATTCTTCCTTTCCTCTACTGTCTTATTTACCACATTTGTATCCTGCCCTTCTTCCAAGGAACAAAGGACTGCAGATATGGGCATACCTTATTTTGTCACATCAAGGCTGAAAGGCTGATAGTAACATGAATGAACATTATGGCTCAGCAGGGATTTGAGCCTGGATCCACCTAGTACAAGTCCATTAGTTTGTTCATTTTTTAGAAAATGTATATGCTGTACCTCAGTCACAGGGAACCTGTTTACATTGTGCTGGCTATTTTAGGAAGATGTTATAAACTAAACCCCCCTATGCATAGCATTAATTGTTTGCAGTGTCCTACTTGGGTAACAAGGATTGGGAATCTATTCAGAGCCAAAACTGAGGGTCAAATTAGATGAGAAAACCCATGAGCAGGTCTTCAGCACGGTTTTTAACATTGTTATACAGCAGCTGTGGAAGCTCCAGTTTGGATTGGGGTCACAGGATAGGGGATAAGTGGTTAATTCTTCCCAACCTCATGGGTGTGTGTATATCTATACATTATTCATTATCTGTGGTGTTTGATACTATTCTTGAAGTGGTAAGGTTGCAGATGAGAATTGTTCCCGCATAATTGGGGCCCAGGAATGAATACATTTCCCACACAGATAAGATGTATTATATACTAACGATTTATGGCAGGATTGCTACTACTTGGGAGATGTGGTTGGTGGTCACCACATCTTATCTGACCTGGCAACAACCTAAGAACACTTTCCAGGGAATAAACCCCATTGAATAAAATGAGACATTTCTGAGTAGACACTCTTAGGCTCATTTTCCCAAAGAGCCAAATCAAATGTTAAAATGAATGTGGTATAATCATTGTAAAATTGTACCACTTCAAAATGAATGTGAGGGGTTGCATGCCTAAATTCTCTTCTTTGTTAAACCCTCACTACAAGTGCAATGCTTGCATGTTGAGGAGATGTCTCTTGTGTCTGTAATGAGGCAGCTTTGCATGTTCAAGGAGATTTCTGCACGGAGAAGTACAATAATGAGAACCAGCACCTCAGTTCTGAGATGATACAGTCACAAGAGGATCGTGTAACTTTTTTGCACCTCATGAATTTTTGCAGCAATAGGGATCCTTAACCATGCAGAAGGGATTTTAAGTGAAAGCTCTGGTGCCTTAGGAATGTATTAATTATCAGGTATTCTTGTTGCCAGTGCTTTGGCATACATTCTTTGTTCTTTTACTTCCAGTACATGCCAACTTGATGCATGACTGCTGGGTCATCAGATTGTTAAATGAAGAATAGTACTGGATGCTAACTTATTATTTTTTGTCAATCTACAGGACTTATGGTAGTGTTAGTATTACTAAGTCAACCACTTCTACTGAATCACTGGCAGAAGAAATAGTAGAACCTGGATCTAGACGAGAAACAATTAGTAGTTTAATAGGTAAAGTGACATAATTACATTAATTCTGGATTTTTCTCAACATGGTCTTGTCCTAAAATTGTCAGTTATTAGATACCCAGGACTTAACTACATGTTATGGGGAGGCACGTGTGCTGCTGTCTCATGTCTTTCACATGGTGAATTAATCTGGCAGATGTCCAAGTCAGGCGAGAGGAAGTGCAGGAACCACTGACAAAAGAAGAACTAGAAGAGGTTGTTGATATTTACCTCACAGAGACGGAAACCATTTGGATATTTGACATGCCAACTATAATGGTATCTTCAGAAGCTGAAGAAGCCGACAAAGTGAGGTAGGCATAACTTTTGCACATTGAGGGAGGCAAAACTTTTATCCCATTTGCACCTCACCTATGATGGTTTGTGGCTTTAGCTTTCAAGGAAATTTGAGGTGACTTCCTGCATAGTCCTCTCCCCAGCATGGGATTCTGCCCATGTATTCTATAAATTAAAATAAGACTCAAAAGATTGTTTATCACCTTAGCAAAAATTCAGGATAGCTCTCAGAGCCTCTGGGGAGATTCTGCCCTGTTCCTCTGTGCAGCCCATTTTTAAACATATTTACTCAGAGAAACAAGACCTACTGAGTTGAATTGGACTTGATATTTAGTAAATACGTTAAAGATTGTAGCTTAAGAGTTGTAAGGCATGGGTTTTTAAATGTAGTTTGATCAAAACTAGGCATTTGATGTGTCCAGGGTACTGAGACTTGATTTTAGGAGTCTGAGGCCTCATTACTGGAAGCAATAATGTGTTGACTACTTGAAATCTACACAATGAAGGAATATGACATGAAACTGTGAGGCAGTTTACCTCCTCACAACAGGGTCTTCTAGCAGTTTCCTTGCTCTCTGTTACAGCCCAGGCCAGTCTCCATGTGATTTGAATTCCACGAGGCCACCAGGGGCGGTTTATATAAATTAGGCCTTCTTTAGTAACTCTGCAATGAAGTATCAGTCATTTGCAAAACTTGAGCAAGGCTGTGAACAGCAGGACGTTAATTCATAGGGTCATTATAAGTTAAGCAACCTGATGGCATTTAACATATACACGTATCAGATAAAGCTGCCTTGTAGCATCACAATTGCTCCCTCTGCTGGCAGCCATCTTATACCATCTCTCCAAATTCTGCTAGGTATTTTTAGTTGCAAGAGCAGCTCATCCAGCCATTACGTGTATCAGGGATGTACACAGAAACATATAGTGTGAAATATAGCACACACCATGAACTCACAAGTGTGTGTTGAGACAGGTGTGACTGGCTGTTGCTTGTTGTTAAGTGTATTCTCAAAACCTCAATTTGCCTCTGTGACATATGCATGAGCATATGCCCTGAATCTTTAAAGAGAGAAGAAGAAGAGGAGAGATTGGATTTATACCCCGCCCTTCACAACCCAAAGGTGTCTCAGAGCGGCTTACAAAACCCAAAGGTGTCTCAGAGCGGCTTACAAACTCCTTTCCTTTCCCCTCCCCACAACAAACACCCTGTGAGGTAGGTGGGGCTAAGAGAGCTCTTGACAGAAACTGCTCTTTTTCAAGAACAGCCCTTATCAGAACTATGGCTTGCCCAAGGTCATCCAGCCAGGTGCAAGTGGAGGAGTGGGGAATCAAACCCGGTTCTCCCAGATTAGAGTCCGCGCACTTAACCACTACACCAAACTGGCTGTGTGCATGCGATATTCCATGGAAGAGGATGACACTTTGTAGAAGAAGAGGCAGGAGGAGTCAAAGTAGCCCCAGCACTGGTTTATTCCAAGCAAGGTATTTCTGTCACCTCCTGGGCCTGGTCCAGCCAGGTATGTGCTCTGAGATCCCTTCTAATTTTTATGATGACACTGGGACCCCATCTAACAGCCATGCCCCAGAAGCCCTGTAAAACATTGCAAGGACATGAGGTACACTTCTTGGACTCCGTGCTACTTCATGGTATTTCTAAGCACTTTTGTTGCTAGTGAAGTCAAACCAGCTGTGCTTTATTATATTTATTCAAAATATTTATATTTTGTTTTTCAAGAGTTGCTCGTATTACTTCATAATGTTAAAAATATAACCCAGTACAAACAGTACCTCGTAGACTAATCACAAAAGAATGCAGATCAGCCTGGAAAATAAAAGTTTTTCTAAGGATCTTTATTGGGTTCCTAACCTTTTCAAGAAGGAGATTCATAGAGGCTATGACATTAATGGCTTTAAATGCTGTGGAGACTGAATGGTAGAGAAGACATTTTTTCTTATCCACTAATTCCTACCAATACTTATTTGGTAGTAAACTGTAACTGTTACAGGTCCTGACCCTGTTAGCCTTCTGGGCATGCAAGAAGATCAAAGCTGCAGCATGAATGACAAGGAAACCCTAAAATTTGCTGTGTTCGGAAGCAGTACTTCATTACTTGTCTAAAGGATACATAACTGCAATGCAGCATTTTTACAGTGTTATTTGAAAAAGGCCAGTTTTAGATCTACCACCATATACTTCTAACGTGTTCAGAAGTTTAGTTGTGGACAGATAGTAATTTTTATTTTTAAGTGGACTGATCTACAGCTGCTTCACTGAATTCCAGAAAGAGACTATAGATGGATGTTTATTTCTAATAAAAACTTATGTCCCTGAAGCAAAACATAAACAGTCTGTGAAAGATAAAATTTAAAAACATTTGTTTTTAAAGGCAACAGAATGTAGCTTACATGGAACTCTGTAAAAACAGAGCCGGCAATGACCGCTATACTGACAGGATGATGCAAACACTGAATGGAGCACCAAAGGTCAAGGAGGTACAATGTGACAAAATCATCATGGCTGACAAAGGTAAATGATGGCTTGAAAAAGTTTTGGAGAAAACTGGAGAAGGGAGAAGGAGCTGTAGACTAAACTGGGCATCCTTTTAGGCAGGGGCAAAGTACCAAAGCCTTTCCCCCAGTCCCTTATATAGGTAAACAAGTGTACTTGAAATCATATCAGTTTCAAACTTGAAATTAAACACGTGAAGTGAGCTTGCATTTCAAACCTAGTTTTCACAACATAATCTTGAATGATTTGGGAAAAACATTAGAAAGTTTTCATAATTTTTCATTGAGAAAAGTCTGGATGGACAAATGTTTATTCCTTCTACCTGCCGCCATGTCTTCTCATGAAAATATGTGGAAGACGGTACAGGCATGGGACTGTCATTTCACCAGGGAATTTGAGAAGTCCAAATCAGGGTAATATTCAGCGGGTATTTGTAAAACAATGATGGGACAGTCCATACAGTTCTGCCTTCATCACACAATGCGGCATCTATGTGGCTCACCAAGTACATTTCAGGTTGGGAAACATTGCAGAGCCCAAGTTGTTCCATTGGGGAAAGTTTACTTGTGGCCCATCAGCACATGTAAATTTCTCCAATGGGGCAAATAGCAGCCTCCCTGGTGCTATTTCTGGATGGGAAAACACTATGTGAGAAAGGCTTAAGCTCTCCTTCCCTGAGTGCCATGGCCCTAGTCAAACCAGGGCGCCTCACAACTGTGAATTCTGAGTTCAGTTCAGATCTGGTCAACAGGCTCAATAGCAGACATGGTGGATGCGGGGGAAGCCCCAAGGACAACATATCACGTAGCTAGACAATGCTCCCTCTAAGCTGTGGAGTCTCGTGAGCAAAAATTCTACTTTGTGAGCGACTGGCATTAAAGTTGTGAGCAAGCAATTTGGCTACCGCATAAATTAGTTTGCTTTGGAGCCATCCTTTCTGAGCTAAGACAAAAATGTGTGAGCCGGAGGCTAGAAAACTGTGAGCTAGCTCACACTTAGAGGGAACAGTGGCTAGGCCCTAATTGTGCTGCTAGAAATGGTGTTTTCTCAGTCCCTCTTGTGCTATACTAAGAAAGACAACCCACACAAAAGGAAGAGAGTTCATGGAAGAAACCTTTGCTGATTCTCTCTCTTCCCTGACTGCTGTGGGAAAGTGAACACACAGGTCTTGCATGATGTCTTGGCAAAAAGAGTTTGCTCAAGAGAAGGGTGAATGCTGCCATCTTGCAGGCCCAGTGCCACATCTTGTGCAATTCCTAAGGGTCCTGAGCAGGAGGACAGAGAGCTGCACAGGGAGGTATATGGTATATATTCATGGTATATTTTGAATTCAAACCATTAGCTCCAAACGTAAACTTAATATGGTGTACAAAATGTAAGGAGTATAAAACTGGGGATTCTTTGGTTATTCTGGACAAAGCCATCATGATTAAAAAATGCAGACTCCTATCTGGGTTAGTTTTTCTCCCCTCCTTTGTGTTCCTTCTTGTTGCCTTTATCAATTTTCTTTGGCCTAATGAATGATTTCATACTCAGTTGAACCTATTTACTCTCTTTCTCTCATTCACAATGAAAGTTGTGTTTGGTTGGTGTTGCATAGTTAACATTCACAGTGTAGTTTCGTACAGAAACACTTGTCCATGTGATGGGGTGTGATGCTTATACATTTTCTTATTACTTTAGGAGACTGTGAAGCACTGACATTTTGAGAAGCCTGTTTAGAATGTTGGCATACATGGAGTTCCACTGATCACATGCGTTATAGTGATCTAGAAGGATATCTATTTGTAACCATGGAAAGTCATGCATTTAAAGGATTTTATGTTTTCCTTAACACATTTAGTTAAAATAGACTTGACATTTGCTATGCAAAGTATAAAATGATCTTTTTAGCTTTGTTTTTAACATAAATACGTAAGAATAAAGTACTACCTAACAATGTCCTTTCGTTCTAGAGATAATGGCCACCAACTGGGATTTATATGATTCCTTTAGTGTTTTGGAGGTAGCAGCTGTAGAAAAAACTAGCAGACCAGTAAGCATAACTAGTGGTAAATCAGCTGTGAAAGAACAGGATAAAACCACATCTTCAGCTTCTAATGACAGAGGTAATCTTTTGTACAACAACATTTACATTTCTGTATCTTATGTAACATTGTCAATATTACCTGCACATAACATTGCAAATATAACCTGCATGCCATGGTCACATGTGAGTAAAAAGTATGACTTTATCCCCTGGACCTAGGCTATGCCCACAGGGATGGGCCATTGCAGGTTGACACTAATTGAGCACGAACACAGGTGTAAGATTAAAAGCCAAATGTACAGACACACCTAAAGTTCCTCATCAAAGGCTCCTAAGTAAGCTCAAAAATCATGGGATAGAAGGACAAGTCCTTTTATGGATCAAAAACTGGCTAGTTCATAGAAAACAGAGAGTGAGTGTAGGTGGGCAATTTTCTCAGTGGAGGGTGGTAAGCAGTGGGGTACCGCAGGGATCAGTACTTGGTCCACTGCTTTTTAACTTGTTCATTAATGATTTGGAGATGGGAGTAAGCAGTGAAGTGGCTAAATTTGCAGATGATACAAAGTTGTTCAGGGTGGTGAAAACCAGTGAGGATTGTGAGGCACTCCAAAGGGATCTGTCAAAGATGGGCAAGTGGGCGTCAACATGGCAAATGGGGTTCAATGTGACCAAGTGCAAGGTGATGCACATTGGAGCCAAAAATCCTAAATATAAATACACATTGATGGGGTCTGAACTGGCAGAGACTGAGCAAGAGAGAGATCTTGGAGTTGTAGTGGATAACTCACTGAAAATGTCGAGACAGTGTGTGACTGCAATAAAGAAGGCCAATGCTATGCTGGGGATTATTAGGAAGGGTATTGAAAACAGATCAGCCAATATAATAATGCCCCTATATAAATCAATGGTGAGACCTCATTTGGAATACTGTGTGCAGTTCTGGGCACCACACCTTAAAAAGGATATTATAGCTTTGGAAAAAGTGCAGAAAAGGGCAACTCGAATGATAAAAGGGTTGGAACACTTTCCCTATGAGGAAAGGTTAAAGCGCTTAGGGCTCTTTAGCTTGGAGAAAAGACGACTGAGGGGTGACATGATCGAGGTTTATAAGATTATGCATGGGAAAGAGCAGGTAAAGAAAGAGGTACTTTTCTCCCTTTCTCACAATACAAGAACTCGTGGGCACTCCATGAAACTGCAGAGCGGTCGGGTTAGAACGGATAAAAGGAAGTACTTCTTCACCCAAAGAGTGATTAACACATGGAATTCACTGCCACAGGAAGTGGTGGGTGCTACAAGCATGGACGGCTTCAAAAGGGAATTAGATAAGCATATGGAGCAGAGGTCCATCAGTGGCTATTAGCCACAAGGTATAGCTAGGGGCTCTGGGGCAAGTGATGCTCTGTCTTCTTGGTGCTTGGGGGGGGGGTCAACAGTGGGAGGGCTTCTAATGTCCTGGCCCCACTGCTGGACCTCCTGATGGCACTGGTATTTCTGGCCACTGTGTGACACAGAGTGTTGGACTGGATGGGCCTTTGGCCTGATCCAACATTGGCGTCTCTTATGTTCTTATGTTCTTATAAGTACCAGCATTTTGAATTATGCTCTGCCTATTTGCAGTTATGTACTACCACAACAGTGAAGAAGGGCTGCTCACCTAGTAGTTAGATAGTGAGGTTAAAGAGGTGAGATATGTGATTGAATCCAAAAGTTATTTTTGCCAACAGAAGGTGGGAATTTTTACCAGTTTTCCCTACTACTACCTGCCCCCCTGTGTTCCTGAAGATCGCCTGTGATCCAGTAGCAGGATTTTGAAAAACATACTGAGCTTCAGCCAACAGAGAATGACCCTTGGATCCAACTCATTATATTTATTTCTTCTTCCTTGGAAAAATATGAAAGTATAGTGGAGAAACCATATCCCTGTGACCCTCTGCCCACTACTTACAGATGTTCATCTGGCCTCATGAACCTTGCCTATTTTGAATAAATAGATTTGATAGTTTAAAATATGGCATTTCAAGGATAAGTTTTCCCCCCCTCCACAAATACTAAAGGTAAGATCGTGTAGCAGAATACTTCTTCAGGTACGAAGGATAAGAATGTGTTGCCAATTACTGATATTCTAGTTTATAAGTGCTACATAAAACATTATCCTTTTACTCCCACTGTCTCTTAAAGAGTAATTCATCAATGTGTTCTTGAACAAATAAGTGGTGATAGGAACACTTCTTATTACAAATACAAATAGCACATTCTTCTCACATGGCTCCTTCTATTCATCATTTTAAAATTACATGGAACAGGAAGGAGAGCCAGTTCTTGGCTGCTTCCCTTGCGGCACATTTTTTAAAAGGTGACATTTTGATGTGAGCATCATTTGCCATGAGTTACTTCAAAATATGGGCTGGGATCTTCTGGGGCCATATCTATTCCTGGCCGTGGACCTAGTAATAAGTCCATGGGGTCGCGAAGAGTCGGACTCGACTGTGCGACTGAACAACAACATGGAGCAGAGGTCCATCAGTGGCTATTAGCCACAAGGTATAGCTAGGGGCTCTGGGGCAAGTGATGCTCTGTCTTCTTGGTGCTTGGGGGGGGGTCAACAGTGGGAGGGCTTCTAATGTCCTGGCCCCACTGCTGGACCTCCTGATGGCACTGGTATTTCTGGCCACTGTGTGACACAGAGTGTTGGACTGGATGGGCCTTTGGCCTGATCCAACATTGGCGTCTCTTATGTTCTTATGTTCTTATGATTACGTTTTCCTGGTGCTTTTTAAATGCTACAAGGGACCACAATTTGGATTGGGTCCATGGCAAGGTGGCAAAAGATTAATCCTCCCACCTTTTGCTTATGGAAACTACCCTCTCTTTCTAGGACTAAGGACAGCATAGGGATGTGTTAGTAAACCTCTGCAGAGATGGAAGAGTTCGCTCCTCTTTGTTGCAGCCCCAGTTTGAATCAGGCCCTTGCATGGCAACTACCACAAGTCTTTAAAAATACTGAGAGGAGCTGATGAGAGATATCCTAGCATCTCATCTTGTTAAGAAGTTGAAGGGAAAAATTACCATCCAATATTTACTAATCTGATACTAGAATCATATAGATCTTAATTTAGGTTTTTTTAAAGATCCATTTTCCAATGACTGCAATGTCACATAAAAACTACTGATCTATATTAAGGATCAATGTTTTTAATAAACGTTCATACAACTATACAGGGATAGTATCTGGAGCCTGTTATGATGCTACATGTAGAGGATCCAACAGATCCCTGATATTTTAATTTCCTCTCCAACTCCAAAGCATTTGGATTTAGGATCCCTCCAAACTGTATAGTTAAATCCTCCTTGTCTTAACTACTCCATAAATATTAAAATAAACATTCTGATGGTAAATGGTTCAGAGTCATTGATTGTATCCTGGATACACAGCATCCACTTAAATTGGGAGTCTAAATAATCCCATGCTCTTTTAGTGAAGCCTTCAGATTAAAAAAATACAATGGAAATGGAGTTTCCTTAGAGAAAACAACTCATTTATTATTGGTATATGATCAAGTTGCACAGATTGGTTTGAGGAGAAGTACTGACCCCTTAGGAGTCAGTTATAACTCCATATGCACAGGATGGTTATATCATCTGGAGAAACCCTAAAATGGATGCAATAATATTGGAAGTACTCCTAGATTATGAAAAACTTGTTTCTGCCAATTCCATCTGAAAAATATTCTGGGTTATTCTGCTAAATATGCTTTTTCTAACATTTGCTTTTCCAGCAAGCATCACTTCGAGCTCTATCATCGATCTTGAGAGTGTAATTCTCTCCCAGATACATGAAGAGGAAGAGGACCGCTCAGAAGCTATAATGAAATCTGAAAAATTTCATCAAGATTTATTTTATATGGAGAGAGTTCTAATGGAGAATATTTTTCAGCCTAAACTTGCAGCTTATCGGCAGCTTCCGGTCTTCCTAGGTATATCTGCTGATATTTCACTCTTAGCCTAAGTTGAGAAGTAGCTTCTCATGCTGGTTAAAAGAGATTGCAGATGTCTGTAATATAAATACTATTGCGGTAATGCTTACTTTCAGGAAACATGTAGGAAGGATTTCTCAAGCTTACTGCGAGTGAATGATTCCAGTCTGGACCATTTGTTTTATAAACTAATTATTTGGATCCCCCAAACTAGGCTTATAATTTGTTCCAATATACATATGTCTAGGACAGAGCTCTTCAGTGGGTGGGTCAAGCCAGTGGCACCACCACTATTTTCTTAGTGGAAGTATTTTAAAAAAGAAAGGCTAAATTCATATGTGCTACTCAAAGGGCTTTTCATCCCTCCTCTTATGTTTAAAGACCGTTTTTAATCTGTAAATCAGGTTTTTGAACTGATTGGTGCCCTTGCAGAAAGGTCAATTCACAATCTCATTGTCCCCTTTTCTGTACTTCGCACTGCAAATATGATTTCAGCCAAAGGCAGAGAGAGCAAAATAAGAAATGGTGAATAAGAGGATGATCAAATGCAACAGTAGTGCAGAAGAGGGAATTTCAGAAAGTGTGAGGTTTTAAAGCATTGCAGCTACTCACAATTCCTTCTTCTGTTGAAATATTAAAGGAAAATATTCCCAGGCCCCTTTGTTTCCCATTATCCTAGAGTGGAGAAAAACACAGATGTATATGGTACACAATGCAATATAGGATCAAATGGGGAGACTGGACTTACAAGTGAGCCCTGCAGTCTGACTACTGTTTTACATCACCAATGGTTTCAGGTCAGATATTAAAATGTAGAGAGTGCTGCCTGGAAAGATATGCAGAGATGCAAACATTTTTTGGAACATTTTTTCTTCCTGATGAGCACAATTTAGCTTGTGGGAAATGTCTCTGCATTTTCTCTCATCTATCACCATTTGATGCTCAAAAAGAGGTAGATTTGAGCCAGCGATTACTTGGAAACACACTTGAACCCCAGCCCCCCATGTTGAAGTTCTGACACTGTTATAGGCTCACTCACCTCAGTTCCCCATCTATAAACTGGGAATGGCAGTAATCAATTTTACAGGTTAGTTAGGGTTGCCAACCTCCTTGTGGGCCCTGGAGTTCTCCCGGAATCACAACCGATCTCCAGACTACAGAGATCAGTTCCCCCTGGAGAAAATGGCAGCTTGGGAGGATGGTCATCATGTCTCTGCTCAACTCTCTCCCCTCCCCAAATGGCACCCTCCCCAGGCTCTGCTCCCAAATCTCTTGGAATTTCCCAACCTGGAGATGACAACCCTGGGTTGGTTGAGAGAACAAACGCAATAAAGCTGGTAAAAAAACACCATCACAAATTTAAAGCACTATATAGAATTTCCCTGACCTGGATGACCCAGGCTATCCTAATCTTGTCAGATCCTGGAAGCTAAGCAGGGTTGGCCCTGGTTAGTGCTTGGATGGGAGACCACTGAGGAAGTTTGGAGGAAGACCACCTCTGTTAATCTCTTGCCTTGGAAACCATACAGGGTGACCGTGAGTCTGCTGTGACTTGATGGCACTTTCCACCCTATAAAATTAACGGTAGCATTCACCCACTAGCGCCCTCCAGTATCACAATCATCACGGTGCTTGCACGGCTTTTCCTTCTTCTGCAAACTGCTGTTTAATTGGTCTTTCTTTCCTCTCCTATCCCTCTTTTCTTTTACTCTTCCCTTCTCTTCTTCCTTATCACCATATTTTCTCCAACTTTCTGTCCCACACCTGCTTGCTCTCT